AATAATGATACCTACATTAGCATTGTACAAGAACACTTCAAGAAAAAATGCATCTGCCGAAAAAAGTCTAGAAGAGTTTTTAAAACGTTATAAACCGGCAACGGATATAGAGACAAAGAAACAGAAAATGTCGAAACACAAAATTATCTTCAATTATCATTGAAAGCTCTGCAAGAACACATCAGTCGAGTTATGGGAAGAACTTCATTTAAATAAAAAAGTGTTGACAGACGAAATGTCCGCACGAGAAAAATGTGAATATCAAATGAAAGAATTACATCGAGAAATTTTGGAAAATGAAAACGAAATACAAAAAATTGAACGAGAAATCGAACAATTAAAAGAAAAAGGTGTTACTCGATTGGAAGAAAAAAGACAACTTTTCCAAGAGACAATCAAAATTTTGCAACAAAAGCTCGAAGAAATGACCGAATCTGTTCGAATAACTAATGAAAAATCGGAAAACAATCAAAAGAATCTCGTTATTGCTGAAGAACAACTTAATGCACTCGATGTCGTAGGGAAAGCATTGAAAGAGACCGAAGAGGAACTAAAAAAGACTCTCCAAGATCTCGAATATCAACATATCGATAAAGCGAATGAATTGAGCTGTATGCAAGAAAAATTACGTATTCTAGAAGATTTAATTTATCAAGCAGATACAAAAATGAAAACTCTCGAACAACAACAGAAACAACAATCGACCGAACTCAAATCTCTGCACAATGAGCAAGAGAAACTCGATGCGACTTTGGCCGATTTCATTAATCAAAGTAATGAACTGTGTGAGCACATGGATGAAGCATTATGACAAAAGCAACACGCAGAGAATGAGCATCAAGAGGCTCAGCAGAACTTGGTTCGATTGAGAGATCTGGAGCGTCAACATAAAATTCAATAGGAGAAGGCAATAAATCAAGAGCAACGAATCCAAGGACAGCTACAACAGGCAGAACTTGAACAACAACAAGCAGAAGAACAAATACGTGCTGCCGAAGCTCGAATTAAAACTGCGAAAGTTCTTAATATTGGTTGGACTTTGCTTGGATCGATTCCTGGATTCGCGACTCTATGTGGCGAATTGAAGCAAGATTGCCTAGAGCCGAAACTGCACTGAAGGAAACTCAAACTACCAAAATAAATGTAAATAATGATAAGGTAAATAAAAAATAAATGCAATGAGCGTCGTAATAAACACAGTGAAACTGAACAACGTACAATCGAGTATAGGTCTGAATTGGATCATACTTCTGAAGATTTCAACCAGCAACAAACAATTCTTCAACAAAAGACAACATCATCTATGCAACATAAAATGATTGCAGAACAAGTTGTCGAACAACATCGCAATGTTTTACGACAACAAAAACAGACGGAATCGAACTTACGTCTGATTGCCAATAAATTACAACGAATTGAATCACAACTAAGTACGACCACGAATGTTTTACAACGTCATAAGCAAGAACAAGCTGCATATGACAGTCAAAGGAATGAAATACGATCAAACGCTGAAATTTTGAATACAGCCTTAAAGCGACATGATGAAGTTATCAAAGAATATCGGAAGAAAATTAATGCAAATCAAACTAAACTTGCCAATGTAACAGAAGAACAACGGCAACAGAAGGACCTCGTCATAAAACTGAAAGGTAGGAATAGATTGAGATTGAACAAATCGTTCAAGTACACTCTAATTTGTTAGAAAGAAACATAGTGACTTTATCCAACAGATAAGGGAATAATTCTTAGATAAATCTTTGACGTTATGGGATAAAAATTCATCAGAATTTGATCTTTACAAGTCTCTTCGTATTCTTAGACTGAAAGACTAGGGTCTAGAAACCGAAATTCACCTGTATCTGTCTGCTGTGTGTCGTCAAAACGTCCATGGTAACTATAGTACAATTGACCATTCTGATAACTGTGGTACAAATGCCCATAAAACAGCCATGGCACAAATGAGCATCTCAAAACTATGGTACAAGTGAGCATCTAAAGACTGTGATTTAAATGAACAAGTAATAACCACGGATAAAATGACAATGGAATAACTATAATTGAGATAGTGGTGTAAAATGGTTTAAAAAAGCATTTAATTAGTACGAGTCAAACCAAACGGGCAGTATGGCTTGAAAGAAATCGTTAAATTATTCAATATTGTCGGACTGATTGTGCAATGCTGTATAAATGAGTATATGATTTATTAATAGTTTAGAATTCATGAGCGAGTTTGAACATAAAATTATGATTAATAAAACTCAAATTTGTGAATAATGAGATTTATATTTTTGTACGTACAAATAGCGCTAATATAATTATAAAAGATTCGTATTGTTGTCTAATTCTATTGGCGCTACTTGCAGTTATAAAAGCACAAAAAGAATAAAACAGTAACGATAAAAAGAATTGATTTCGTAAATGCATTATCTTTATTTATAATGAGAATTCTCCAAATTAATTACTATGATCGTCTAAGATATACTGGTCATATCATCAATTTTGTCCATTTTTTAATGTAACTTTCTATGCTATTACATCCGTACATCTATTTCATCAGTCTAGGGCTAAGTGAATCGCTACGCGATGAACGTTACTTGTTTTACTAAATAATAAATATATTCTTTGTGATGTTCGAAAGTGAAAATGAAAATCTCAAAGGATCACTTGATGAATTGATCAACTCCGAAAAGATTACAAATCGTGAAATAATCCATCAACAAACTCTACTCGAAGCAGAGAAGAAATCTGTGGAGGATTTACGTGCGGATATGGATATCAAACAACAACATATTGGCCATATTAAACAGGAATTTATGAAGACTACTACAGAACTGAACAAAATTATGAATAAAATCACCAGCGCCGTTCAAAAGAAGACTGATCTTCAGCAGAATATAGTAGCCAAACGTGTTACATTAAATTCTGTCAAAAATGAATATATCGCGATACGTTCTCGTATACAAACTCAAGATGTTATTGTACAAGATCTTCGTCGAAAAATGAATCAATTAAATATACATGACAAACAACTGTTCACCGATGTGCAACATCTCAAAGGTGAAGTCAATATCAAATCACAAGAAATGCAAGAAAATCAAGAATCCATCCGTGAAATCAATCAAAAAATGCGACGTTGCACAAGATCAACAAGAACAAGGTAACACAAGTGATTACCAAGTGAAAGAAAGAATTAGTACCGACCGAAGAAGAACTTCACAAAATAGATAAGGAGATCATCAATAGCGAACAGAGATATCGTAATTATGAGTGAAAAGCTTCATCGATCGACTGAAACGTTTGTGGACAATGAACAAGCAAAAACAAATTTTAATGACCGACTAAAAAAGCTTGAAAAGGTTATTAGTGGTAACAGAATACAAAGTTGTGAGCGTAAATAAGAATACGAAGGAAAGGCAATTGCTATCGTTAAAAGTGAAAAAGAAAAATGAAAAATGCAAGAATTAACAATCAGACGATGATGAACAATGAACCAATTAAACAACAGAGATTAATGTCGAAGCGTCTCTGAAATTTCAAGATTGGTCCGGGACTTGATTAGAACGATTTTATTATTGTATAACTCATCATTATTCACTTAACTTGTTACATGCGAGATACTATTACATAAGAAATGAAAAAACTTGATTTTATTTTACATTTTACACGATAAGTCGGTATATCATTCGTAGACGAAGAGCTATCATTTGCTTTCTACGGATAGTTTTCAATGAATCTTATGCAAATCCAAACTTATCTACTCTTGATTCTCGATACTCATCCTTTGAGCAATCGTTGTACTGTGTACACGATTGGTTTAGCGAACTGGTTTAGAGAACTTTGATAGAACCTTTTTATACAGCACAGTTCAAATCTTTTTTCAAATCTGTTCTAGCTTGTACGGTCCACGAGAAAAATCAAAAATAAAGGTAGCGAACAATTTTTGGAGCCATTCTAGGTTAAAGTGGCGCAGTATTTAATACCCAAACACCGCTGTTAGGCTTCGTTAAGTTTCTTATTAACACATATTGTAGAACGTTTCACGGCGCATCGAATGATGTATGAATGATCAGAGATCCTCTTTATTTTCACAGATAAAAGTGGTCAAGGGTTCCATCGGCGTACCCGCAACCAATGGAAAAGTCTATTAAAAGTAAAGTCGTTGAGAGGAAAGAACACTTTCTTTCATTTGGAGCTATAACTTTGTTCTCCGTTTTAAGGCGGTTCGAATGGCGTCAAATTCAAGTGTCCAGCGCTTTACGAAAATGCCTTGATGCCTTTTTAAGCATCTTTTGAAAATGAAATTTTTTGAATGACTTCTCGCGACTCAGAAAAATTGAAATACAATTTTCTATACCCACTGTCAGCCACTGATTCCGGAAATCATATTCAGAAGGTTCGGCAACCTTCTGCAGCTAAGATACTGTGTGTTTTGTAAAAAATCGAAATTATTCGAAAATACGGAGCCTTACTACCTTTACCCAAAAATTTTTTTCAGCCTTAAAGCAGCCTCTAGGCTAGAGGCTGCTTTGACCAATAGGGGAAAACTAGACGGTAAAAAGAAACCGCTAAACAAAAATAATGCTGACATCAATGATTATCTGCTTTTCCACAGATACAAAAACGATTAACATATAAATCAAAATTCAGTACGGCAAATTTAACTCTTATTTGATTAAATACTACGACATATTTTTTGTTTTAGTATTTCATATTTCGAATAGAACGTGAACTTTACCATGCCTATAAATAGACTTTCCCTGAAATATTCACTTAAAGTCGGACTAACTTTTCCCTAATGAACATAAAATATCTGTTTTATAACGTAGCCCATTTATTTAAGGTATTGTGTAAATTCTTGTAAATACACGTCGACCTTCACCTTCATCTCCACCTCGACGACGACCCCGATCTCGATCTCCCACGTTTCGATAATCATATTTCACAAACCATTTCTTTGTTTTTGACCAAAAATCGGTTTGGAATGTCGATAATATTTGATTAATAGCGTCAAGGTTAACAATATTAATTCCAATTATAAATCGAAATTTAGTTAAAAATGGAAAGTGGCTTTCGATCAACCGTTTCCATTTGTGTCCGTCAGCAAAATCTTCGCCAAAAGCTTTCAATGAGAATGTTTTCAACTGAGGCATTTCAATTAATAATACGGTCAGATACTTAAATGTTACATCTGACTTAGTTTTAATTTTCAAATCTATTATTGTTGCTTTTCTTGCTAAATGGCATATGCTTCCCTCATGTAATGAATGAATATTTAAGCTGTTTAAGTTGCACATATAATGAAGTAGATCAAATACATCTTTGATCGTACAATAGTTCAATACTAAATGTTCCAGATTATTTGAAGGGATTATTAGTTCGGGTCCTGGAATAAACAATATCCGATTTGGTACTATTAGTTTGAGGTATTTTAGTGCTGGTATCTGATTACATATGATCATTCTAAATAAGATGCTGTAAATGTGTTTATAACTTATAGGCATTTTTCTGATGACTGATAGTGATGATAAATTCTTAAAGTTAGATAACTGAGGCACTAAATCAATAAAATCGAGTGGTTGAATGTCATGTACGATCAAGGCTTGACAATTTTCGACAACTTTTACCATTGAAAATAGTTTATTAAATAAAAGCATTTGATCACTACTTGATATTGTTAGTGAACGAATTCGTTCTGGTTGTAAGTATTCAGGTACACAGTTAAACTTTTCGGCTGTATCCAGATTTAAATGATAAGGATGGCACTGCTTGACAAGTGTGTCCAGTCGAACAATTAATCCATACAGTGAATAGAATACATGACTAACATCAAAATATTCAAAAATTTCTAGAAATATTTCATTCGGTAAATCGATTAATTTTGATTCAGCCATTCCCTATTTGAAATCTGAAATAGTCAGATTATGAGTAAATTCCCTTTCGGTATTTTTTCAAAACTCAATTAATTCAGCAGAAATATACGACAAAGTGTCCTCTACAAAGTAAAATATCCCGATGTCAAAGATACATGAATATTGAAAAGTACTTAGACTACAACGATCAGTTTCTATTCAAAATTTTATTGATGAGTCCATGTCTGAACATAAATCACATTTTCTACAAAACTCATAGAAGAACATGTCAAAATGTCTGATCAAAGATCAATCGATCTTCTGTTCCGACGTTCCATATCAGAGCTTTGCCCCAAGTTTGTTAATGAGGCGAAAAAAGACGGGTGGCGGTGCCCTCAACTTAAAATGAGATACTCGTATTTCAGATGTGTATGTTGTTTTACTACTAAGAAACAAAAAGAATTAAAAACTGTTTTGTGATAAGTAGAAGTATTACGCTCTTTTTTGGTTTGACAACTTTGTAATTCCTGCGTACAAACGCGGTCACAACGAATAATTCGAATTTTCGTTTATGAATTCAGTCGTTATTAGTTATTTTCCAATTTAGATCATATATGTCAATTTTTTTTCAAAATTTCGGCACAAATCTGCGTTTTTTGGCACCTTGTCGATCACACTAACGAAACGCCCGAAAACGCATGCTTCTTATATGGGTTTTCTACCGCGATATTTTTTCCCGCAAAAATCAACCAAAACCGGTGCTTCTTTTGGCTTTTATCGCAGAATCATTTTTTTGCGTTATACATTGCAGTTATACAATATACGACAAAGTGTCCTCTACAAAGTAAAATATCCCGATGTCAAAGATACATGAATATTGAAAAGTACTTAGACTACAACGATCAGTTTCTATTCAAAATTTTATTGATGAGTCTACAGATTATTAAAATCTTTTATAAATATGCGTATTATGCATATTTGCGTCACCCGCAGTCAAAAGGTTAATGTAGTTTTGAGAAAATTGTTGATGTTATATATGTAACATTCCTTCCTCTTTCTGTTTTCATTTGTCGTGACCAAAAAGAATGCTGACTCAGTCCTTGTTGAGTCAACATTCTTTCTTCATTCATATACATGTTTGTTTATACACATCGAGTTAAGTCTTTTGGTTTTGACGTTTTGAGAGATTTTATTCTTTCCAATAAAATCTGTGGA